TGCCCTCCCCATAGTCACCTCCCACAGACACTGTTCCAACACCATCACAAGAGAAAAAGGAAAAAGGCATTTGAGTTCTGCATTTGTCTATTACTACAGAAGTCTCTTCTTCAATGTAAAGTAGCAGAATACTCAGTTGCTGCTGTACTAGTGGAATAGTCACCCTCCTGAAATCATGCTCTGCATTACATTGTGGGGCTGGAAACTTTTTCTGCCCATTTGTCTTAAGAAAAAAAAAAAAAGGTAAAAAAAAAGCCAGGGGAATTTTTTTGTGCACTATCATCTTAGTCATCCTGCTCATGTGACCCTGAGAGGGGAGAGGAAAGTTGTTGCAGAAGAGGGGAAGCGGAAGGTGATCCTCAGTGGGAGGATGGAATGAAAAGCAGTGAAGAACTTGAAAAAATGTGATTTTGTTGGGAGGGCTGATTGGCACACAGTCCTAGCACAGTTGGAACCTCTTGGCTCACCTGTGGAATTCTTTATGTGAGGGGCAGGGAAGAGATTATGAGGAGAGCTTTTTGTCATACAGCTGTGCTGCGTAAAGCGTAGTATATAGCAAGGTATTTCAGGTTTTTTGCATAGCAGTTCTTAAACATTAAGAGTTTAGTTCAGAGATGGATCAGACGATGTTTGGAAAAGACTTAGTTTCTTCTTCTCATTTTATATTTATTTTTTGCAAAATTTTCTGGTTCTTTCTCTGGTCTAATTTTAAATAGAATTCCACCACTTTCTTTGAGAGGTTAATCAAGGCTAGCTAGCACTTAGTGCAAATGAGTCCTCCCTAATATTAAGCTCAAGTGTTTATCTCCTTCCTGTCATCCTGTGTATCATGGTTGGATTTTAGTGTTCTACCCTCAGCACTGTCCCAAGTGCATGTGTACTGGCATGCATGCTGTACTTTGGTTGCTCTGTAGAATGGCTCAGAGCCACAATTCATTGATGTTATTTAGAAAAAAAATCCAAGTTTCATCTGCTGTTATTTTGGAGGTCTTCTGATCTGCAGTAGTGGTCACTTCAAAGCTGCTGACACTTGTAACTTGCATCTGCAACTGAATGTAAGCATTTCTGTACATATCCTTACTTTGCCCTTCTTTTTTTCTGAACTACATTCTCACTTAAAGTGTTGAGTGTTTATCTTTATTTTTTGGAACTGGTGAATGTCATGTCATTTTTCTTTATCACTGTAAGATGCTGAAAGCCAGCCTGACTTATGAGCCTGTATTTTACATTCTAAGTATGCCAGTGTTGTCAGGCCAAAATATGTTGTTATAGTCACAAAGGGAAAATAACTTCTAAACACAGCTTTGTTCCTGTTCATCTTGTATCTTGGCAGGCTAAATAGTGAGGTTGAATATTTTCAGTGTTACATGTAAGATCTAATCAAGGCAAACTCCTCTAAAGGAGTAAGGCAACAATTTTTTAAGTAGAAGAAGCCTCAGTGAAGGGAGTGTTTGAAAGAAAGGTTGTGGATGTGGATGTGGATGTGACTTGGCATTTGCTGAAGTTCAGCCTGTGTTGGGTGATAAATGTTGTCTCGAGGCAGAATGACATCCATGTTGCAAAGTAAAAGAGAGAGATGAAGATTGTGTCTATCCTTTGTACTTCTTGGCTTTATCTTCCCGCTTATCTTGGGCTGTAGCTCTAGTAATCTTTTTCCTCTCCACCCTTAACTTGATGCAGTGAAACTTGCTTAACCTGCCAAAGGAACAACCTGCTGGCTGTAACGTGGGCAGGTTGCGACTCTCCTTGAGAACTCTCCTTGGAACCTGCTGCTTTGGTTTCAGAATTTTCCTTTTTTCCCTTAATGATCACATGCATAGAGCTATCACAGCAGCTGTGATGTTTGACCTACACAGTAAAAGTCAAAGGTGCAGTCAGGGTGTCTTCCTGTTTATAGCTCAATAGCTTAGGCTGCTTCCTTTCAAATATGCAAAACTAAAACATGAAGGGGGTCACCACATTCCTTGCTGTGGTATGGATTTCTGCTGTGGCTTTTAGGACATGGCAAAAGCAGAGACATTGCAGGAATGAGAACTGCAAGCAGTTGGGGCAGCCAGTGACTGACACCAAACATAGCAAAGCCCCCATCACTGCGTTGCTGTACCCGTGTTAGCAGGCCCTGCCTTATTGGAAAACTTTACACTTGAAGCACAGCTAAACTGCTTTTAGGACTTGTAGGAGCCAGTGTGTTTGCATGTAATAGGTCATGCCAGGGAGAGGTGCTGGGTTGGGCTGGCACTAACCTGGAGGTCCCAGGGTTTTTCCTGTTGGTGTGCTGTGGATGTGCCATTGTATCTCTCTCAAGTAGGAGCCAGCTCCATCAAAACAAGCAGAGTTCAACAGGTGGACAAACAGCAGGAGGAAAGAACTTAGCCCTAAGGAAGTTGTTTTGCATAGGTAGCTGCTAAACAGGAGTTGTGCATACTTGTTAATGGTTGGAAAGAGACTTTAAAATGGGAAGAAAAAGTCCCACGCCCAATGCATAGTAGTTTTCTTGTTGTTTGTTTTCAGGATGAATGTGATTTAGCTTGACTGATTTTGCTCTCTAGCTATCTGAAAAGTAACTGGCCAAGTAGAGTTAGCTGTGCTTCAGCCGAGCTGCCAGAGGGTTAAGCAGTCAGGCTGTGTCTGAGTGCCTGGGGTGGAGGCACAGACAGGCACAGCAAAAGCCTCTGCCCTTACTTTCAAGAGATCATTGAAACTGGAAAGCAGTCTTTACCAAAAAGAAGTAATAAAAACACAGACAAACAATCCAGACTTCCAGGTTTTGCTTTGCCTGTGCAGTTGAATATTTTGATTTTTTGTTCCAAGATGCTTTCTGAATTTTATCTTCTATCATTGTGGACAGGAACCCCTTGAACAAATAACTGGTTTCTTCTCTTTTATTCTTGTGTGAATACAGACAACTGCAACTCAGGCTGCTGTTTTATCACCCATGAAAGAAGCTCTAGCTAGCACGAGAAGTTAGATCAGTGTCACAGGGGAGACAAAAAAACAAGGCAGGAGGGTATCTATTGATGCCTTCCTGCAGATTTTGTGAGACAAGGTAGCACTGGATTCGTGTGGATAAATCAGTTGCTTTGGTGCCTGTGGTGCCAGAGCTACCAGTGGGCCAAGGCAGGGGAGTGCACAGCACTCTGTATGCTGTGTCAGCACTCTGGGTTTTCTCTGGCTTCTGTCAGACCTGGAGAGAGCCAAATGCTCAAACCTTCAGCATTCCTTCTCTCAAATGGGTGATGGGCAGGGAAAGAGGTCAGACAATTTCAGCATCACTTCCGTGATTCTGTGTCCAATCTGCTGGGCACATCTGCACACAGATGTGACTGAGAGGTGTCACCAGTGTCCATCCACCAGTTGTGCAACCAGTGAGAGTTACGGGGGATCTGGGGAAACAACAGGTTTTTTCCTCTTGGACCTGATCCTCCAGGCAGCCCCAGCCTTGATGGATGCTGAAAGCAGGCAGTAGCTGAACAGGCATTTTCATCTTGCATCGGTTCTGGTACCTGTGGTGCTTTTGGCTTGAGGCTGTTCCTGCACAACACCTTGCAGTTTGAGACAGGCTATAGTCTGAGACAGTGATTTAGATACCTTCTTTTTTTTTAAAGCTTCTGAGATTATGAAAGGAAACATTAAAAAAAAAAGCATTGTGTGATGAGGCAGTCTTCCCAGCAGCTCCAGTGGGGTCTGCTGTGGGTCAGTTTGGTCCAGTGTGTTACCTCAAAGCATCATGCCCTTGGCATCCAAAACTAAAAGAGTTTTTATGTCATAACACCAAAGCAGTTATGAGGATGTGCAAGACTTGTGTGGGTTACAACATTCTCTCATCTTAGAACATGATATTGTGCAGTCATGTTAAATGGCACTGTCCTGAGCTGAGTTGTGGATTCTGAAAGATTTGCCCAAGTGTCATTAACATTGTCTCCACTGTGTTTCTTTGAAGTCAGTCATGGACAAATGGCAGCTCCCTCCTGCACTCACATATCTAGCTACTCGAGCAAAAAAAATTCCATTGTATCTAGGAGTATACATTTGATATATTTTTTCAATAGCAATATAAATTTGAAGTGAGGTTAAAGACCATATCTTTTAAAAAAAAGGAAATGGAAATTTGAGCTTTGAGTTGTCAGAAGAAAAAGCATGGCAGCAATACCTTCCATCTAACTGAAGGGAGCTAGACAACAGTGTCTTCCTCAGGTTGCAAACACAGAAAACCAAGAGGCAAGTGGGTCAGGTAAACAGATATTAATGATATTGCTTCCTGAGTAATTCTGTTCCTTTCCCTTTTCATGTGTCTTTGTGACAAGAAATAGTTGTTTTCCTGGGAAAGGAGGTTTGTGAACATGCCTTGGCAGTGCAGAGTTTTGCAAGCCATACCTAGTGCACTGTAACAGTGGGACCAGATAATCCTGACTTCAAAGCTGCACTTGAAATTTGATACTGGGTTCCACCATTGTGTTAAGGATGAGAAGGAAACAAATATATTTAAGAAATGTTGCTCTGACACTGGCATATACAGATCTATTTGAGGTACAGTCTCAAACTCTAGACAGAGAGCCACTTGAAGATGAGGTGCTTTTCTTGCACTGAGAGAAGTGGATGCTAAGCTGCAGCCTTTTGCTTATTAGACTGCCACAAGACAGGGAGGCTGGGTATGTGGATTGCTTAGCAGGTTCAGGCAGAACCAGGACCTCGTGGATGATAGGGAATGGGCACAGCACTCATGGAAATAGATGTTAGCAGGGCAAGTGTTGTGCTGCGAGTTGGGATGTTGGGGAAGGCTTGTGGGCTCCCTGCTGCTGCCCCTCACAGGCCCAGGCACTGCAAAGGGCCCGTGCTGGATCATGCCCCAGCTGTTTTTCAGAAGTTCAGGCCAGTTTATAGGATCTCTGATGGTGTCCTTTAAAGGCAAACCTTAAAAGTGGTGTTGGCATTAAAATTTACATTGGACTTCCTGCCCCGGATCTGCCTGCTGACGGTGTCTTCTTTCCGCTCCTGCTCAGGCACATGAAGATTCACGAGAAGGATCCAAACAGCACAGCGAGCACCACTCCCCCCTCGCCGCTGAAGCGCAGGAGACTGTCTTCGAAACGAAAGTTCAGTCACGATGCTGACCTGGACAGAGAGGAGAGGACACCTGCAAAAAAGGTTCTTTACGGGGCATGAAGCAAAAGATGTTCCTGGTTGCCTCCTAAATTGTCAGCTGTTTGGTTTGTGCAGTCAGCACAGGCTTGTTGTAGCTTTGTATACGAGTTGCCTTGCTTATCCTGTGTAGGCAACAGAGCTGTCTGGGATTGAACATTATTTTCTAATTTCAGAGATTGAAATAATTCAATTTTTTAAATTCTTTATTGTTTAAATTCTTGAATTTGCTTCTGATTTATAAGTAATTATTGTTGGATGACAACAGAATGTACTGTTCTTTTGCTGCTGCAGCTTTTCCCCTAGCTTTTTCTCCCCCTCCCATATATTTTGTAGTATTCTTGGAGGATGGTGATTTAAACTTAAAAAAACAATTTTAACTTCAAAAGCGGCAGCAGCTAAAGTCTGCTTTTGTCTAAATTTGGAGGGGAAAAAAAAATCTACAGTACATTTCCCTTTCATAGTAGCATAATCCTGCCTTATTGGAGTTGCAGGAGTGACCAGAAAATATTTATTTGAGGGCTAGATGTTTCCATTTTTTTAATTAAATATTTTAACACATCTCAGTCACTTGTGAAAAATGTATGGTGTCTGCCAAACCTAACTCTTTCCACTTACTATCTCTAAATGGCAAGCTAATAGCAGTTCCATTTAGCATGGTATCCGTTGCTCTGTGCATGCTTTTTCTCCCTCTAATCAGAAGAGAAGTATAGAAGAAAACATGCAGAAGTTCATTGCTCCTCCCTGAACCACTTGACTTAGCAGTTGGCAGTATCTCAGTGGCATAAATAATTTAGGCTGACAGCTCCCCTGGCTTTCTAAAGGGGGAGGAATGCCAGTTCAGTGGTATATGAACACATGATTTTGTAAGTTCTTCAAATCACAGTTCCTCATTAGAACTGATATATCTGTGACTCAGCTGCACACTTTATCTTCTACTGAGCCTCCTTTTCTGTCATGCATGTTCTTACACATGTGCCAAGGCTCTGTCACTTACCATCACTCCTGAGGAATGGTTTTGTATTTGCTTGCAGCAAGGTTACACATGAAGCCTGCAACTTTTTGTAAGAGAAAGACTTTGAATGGATTGCAAGTTTGGTTCGTTGCTTACAAGTTGGTCTATTGAGGTTTTTTTTCCCTTTTTCTGAAGGTTGTCGACGATGGCCATTCCGGTGAAGGGGATAAGAGGGCTGATGATGAAGTTTATCATTGTCCAGTGTGTTTCAAAGACTTTTTTTGCAAGTATGGGCTGGAGTCCCACATGGAAACACATCCAGATAATTCATTGAGGTAAGAGATAGTACCCAGAGTGTCTCTGGTCACCAGACAACCTGAAGAATACTGACTGCTGTGGAGGGGCAGGAGCCCCTCAGCCCCTTGCACTCTTACCTGCCCCCCTTTGTGGTTTTGAGCAGGTTTTTAAACAGTTTGCCTCATATTGTGTCACCAGGGTGCTGTAAGGCTTAATTTTATTATTTTTTGCAAATACACAAAATCTTGCCAGTTAATGGCTGGAAATGTTTTTAGAAAAAATTAAAGCCCTTCTTCATCCCATTGAAACACATCACTGTACACAAAACTGTAAAATGCCAACATTGCAAAATTTTAACAAGATAAACTGAAGATGCTTAAAACTTGATAAAAAAAACTTGATAAAAGTATTGAGGTATCAGCCTATGAGATTATTCTGTTTGAGGAGAAGGCAGCAGCTAGATAGAAAGGGTTTTCAGTCATTGGAGGGAGTGAAGGTAGATGAGTTTCTGGTTTCAGACTTTCAACAAAATGTTTTATGCTTTTCTGCCTTCTGAGGTTAGGGAATGATGTGGATTTTGGCTTAAATGAGCCTTTCTTAACAAGGAAAAATTATTTATTAATTGTTCGGGAAGGTGCTTGAATGTTGTGTTTTGATTCAAGTAATTGCCTCTGGGACTCCTGAAACTGTTTTATTTCCTGTTTTTTACTGTAGAAAAATGTAGAGCCAGATACATGAAAATATAAAAGAAATTTTTCATGTCTAGTTGAAATATGTAGAAAGGAGATTGTCTGTTTGCAGAAGCTTGTCAATATTGTAAACTTATTTTGAGACATTTAACTCTAATGATCTAATGGTGAAGAATTCAGCATCTTGAAGTGTCAACACTCACTTCTGGATACAGGTTCTTAATAGAGTGGCATGGAGCAGAGGCATCCCATTCTATTAAATGGGATTCATTCCATTAAATTTTCCCTTTCCTAAATTTTTGTTTAGAAAATCTTGGTAAACACATATAAAATATTTTTAAAGGTGTTGTTAATGTTGCAGTTACTGGGGAAATGAGTTGAAAGCTTGGTCCATTCAATAGTAGTTAATTAAACATACTTTGCTGTTTCTGAAGTAAATAGGGTAAATTTTCATTATAGATCAAAGCTGAAACAGTTGTTCTCCAGTAAGAGCTCTGCAACCCCTACAAAATGGAGTCTGGAACAATTTTGTCTTACACTTCATGCTTTAGAGAATGCAGCTGACATATTAGGTCATTACCCTCATTTTGAAGTTTCTCTGAAGATAGGACCTTTTTGCAAAGTTATACTCCATGGACCTGAGTGGAGAGGTGGATTTTCTTGCTTTGATAAGATAATGGAATAGATACCCTTCTAGCTTGGCTGCTTTGCATTCTGCTGTGGCAAGGCAGAAAGACACAGTGGCTGTGCAGACATGCTGTTCCTCTTTATGCAGCACTTGCTCTAGTATTAGACTTGCTTTGGGATAATACTCTCCTGAAATGGGTTTTGCTACCCTTGATTCTGTTGAGCAGCAAAGACTAGAATGTGTCCCTAAATCAAACTCACAGTTGTCAAGCTCTGTGGGTATGATTTAACAGCAGTGCTGGGATGCTTATCTTTATGGAATTGTCTAGGTGATAGTAAGGGGGCTTTTGTCAGGTATTTGCCTCAGCCATTTAAGACGTGTCAGTGAAGACAGGACAAGGAAGATGTGGTCCTCTCTGGGCAGCTAATATATTAAGGTGCAACTTAGCCTGCCCATCTGGTTTAAACCACACCTTTTGTCCTAGTCTAGACAAGTCAAATGACACTGTCTGCCTGGCCCAGCCTAACAGAAAATCCTCTAGTAAGCAGAGCAGTTTGGATTGCTCTTAAGGTGACTCTTTCATCCCAAACTAAGTGGGTTAAAATCCTTGGCCAGCAGGGGCTGTAATCCCCTGGTTCCCAGGGTTCTGCAATACTGTTTGTAGGATTCAACGAGACACAGAGAAAGTAGCATGCCTTTCTCAGTCCGGAGTACAAGTGATTGAAGTCCTTTTGTTGAGGCTTAAGGGTGTTTTTTTGAGTGAAAGAGCCAAAGAAAAGAGAATATTTTGCTAGAGTAGCAGAGCAGGAGACCTGTGTATACAGGTGTACTTGTGGCAGGGAAGCAAACTGCGGAATGTTAGAAGGCTTTCATCAAATCCTGTTGTTGCCTTATTGTAGAAGACAAGGGGAAGTAACTCTTGTTAAAAGTTCAGACAAACAAAAAAGCACAGTAACTGTGTTGTGAGCAAAGGGCAGGGAGTCTAACACCCCCAGTCTCCTTTTATTGCCCATATTGTAAAAGCAGAGTCACTTCATGAGGACCTAGGAGGAAGGTATTGGATGTGTATCCCAGAGCCAGATACTCTGGCTCATTTGGTGGTTCATTTGGAGCTATTGCAGTAGGCAGTAGCCCGGCACAGACTGTTTTGTCATGATCAAAAATAAGTGATGCTCGGTCTGCCTAGCCAGTGCCTTTCGTTTTAAAGGCACATGTCAAACATCCAATTCCTTTTTGCCCCCCTAGCTCCTATATAAAGGATTGCAGACTGGCTCTGAAGCAGTGCACCAGTGTGCACTGCCTTGATGGTGGCACCAGGCTCCCTTCAGGCATGCATCCTCAGCCGTGGCAAGGTGCCAGTGTGGCAGGAGCTCCTGCCTGGCTTCCCTGTGGTTATTTCATCCTGCCATTTCAGTGCTGCTGTGTAGATACAGCCTCTTGCCCCCAGAGCTGTCGGAGTCTGTCTGTCCCCACCACCCTCTGCTAAGCAGCAGAAAAGGTAAGGCTGTCTGGCAGCCCTGGGATTAGTATGTGCACAGCTAATTTACAGGGTGGGCCATCACCCTTCCAGATACTGTCAAATGAACAACTTTAAATCACAGGGTTAGCTGTTCAAAGTCAGATGAAAAGACACTCCCCATTGTCTTGCCCAGAACTGCTTTTTCATGTAAAACCCAGAGCAGGGAGCACCTTATTGTTTACTTGCAGCAGAATAAACAATTCTTAATCCACTGATTGTGTGAGAGGGGCTCCTGCTTGGGAGAGTATCTCTTGATTATGTAAAATCCTAAATCGTGCATCTTTGTCTCCTAATTACGGTAGGAACTGCCCTGGTCTTGAGAGTAATAATGGGGCCCTTTGTCCCATTGACAATGGGCTGTGGCGCTGCATCTCCTTCATGGCATTACACCCCCTGGTCAGTCTCTGTCCCTTTGAAGCCCTGTGTCCTGCACCCTAATTAAAGACATGAGCTGGCCCCCGGCAAGGTTGTCTGCAATGCCCATTAGCAGTGGGAGGTGGCCCAGGAGTGCTTTCTGACCCCCTTGGCCTCTCTACCTGGATTATTTAAAGAAGTCTGCTTCCCTGCAGCTGGGGCCTCAGGACACGGTCTATTTTGGTGAGTTTGTATCTGAGTGTTGATATAATTAGCAGAGAGCTGAAACGCTGCACAGCCAATAGGGAAAATGAGAAACCTCACAGAGCAGGGGAGTTTCTCTGGAAACTTTAGTGGCGCAGGGTTGCTGTCAAACGTGAAACTGTGCTTGTAAAGGTCACCTGACAGCTCTGAGCAGCGTCAGCAGGGGAGATGTCAGGATTTCCCGGGGAGAAACCTCTCCAGATGCTATGCTGAGTTTCTCCTCTTTCTTTTGCAAATACAATGGAACAGGCTTAAAGTAAAATGTGTAGCTTTTAAAAAAAAGTACATGAACTATAAAATTCTTCTCTTGGATTTCACTGTAGCCAGAGCATACCCTTTTTATTTCCTCTCCTTCTTCTCCAGAAGGTTTAGTGCAGTATGCTGTACCAAGAGCTAAAGTATTTTTAATTTTTCTTTCCTCACAGCAGCAAAGAGACAATTATGCAGCCTCTCATGTCTAGGTGTCTTCCGGTGGAGAGGAGGAGGGAGCTGGCTATGGTGTTGCAGTTACCTCCTTTCTTAGACTCATTCCAAAATAATTTCTCAGCCAGGATAGTTGTGCAGTTTGAATGTGGTAAAAGGCTGCTTCTTAATGAATATCATGAGGCTTTCTGATCGCATCTGGTTCAGTATGGCATTGCCTCCAGTTACAAGATTTGGTTTTGCTATATTTTTGTAAGATATAAGTAGACATTGCAGTGTGAAAATTACTCTTTGCCTATGTCACTGAGCTGACCTGGTGACCAGAACCAGTAGGTGCCTGTTGCCATGAATGGATTCAGGGGAGATTAAGTTTTTTTACCTTCTACATAGCCTGTCCAAGCAGTGATTTAATATATTAAGCTTTGTAACTTGAAAATCCTGGGCATATTTTCACAAGGACAACAAAAGCAGTTCTCTTCCCCCAGGGTTACGTGTTTCTGTAAAACCTCCAAACAAAGAACACGAAAAGCTGTTCACAACCTACCTTGTTCTTCAAAACAGCCTGCCCAGGTTTTGCTGAAATTGTATAGTGGTTGAACACTGCCATGGAAAGCTATTGTTTTGAACAGCTCACAGATCAGTAACAGGCACAGCAACAGAAGAACTCAGGCCCTGGAAAGAGAAGTGTTAGGAGTCTCACCATTAGGATCTGTGGTTGTCTGCCTCTAGTTTTGCCAGGATAATCACTGTGAGGTCCTGTTTTTGAAAACACTTATGGGTGAAAAATGCTGTCGTTGTTTCTTGGTGTTACCTGGCTTCCCCAACATGGAGTGGACAACTTAAATGTCATAGGAATGTTCTTCTGGACTCTGTGGGCAAATTGGAGATATCTGTCACATGCAGCTTGCAATTCAGGCAGGCTGGTCACCAGGTTTCCCCTTTTGCCAGCACATCCACATTCCTCAGTGTGTGGTGGGACGCTGCCAGGCACCTGGACCTATGTCCCAGCCTTAAATCATATCAGATAATGTGCATGAGCAGCCCCATTTAAGTCAAGACAAGAGGAAGTGGGTTTTGGGTGAAAAAGATACCTTTCTACTTAGAATATGGCATGTTTATTGCCCAGTTACTATTCTTCAAAGCAGTTCTGCACCCTGGCTT